GAGATTTTAACACTTTGAATGTCTAGTTAGGCTAATGTGAGCTGGTATGACTTCCAAATTACTGGGGGAGATTTTAACACTTTGAATGTCTAGTTAGGCTAATGTGAGCTGGTATGAATCGAGATTCAACAGTTCCATATCTGTTTTCGGTATGAATTTCGTTATTAAATAAAGCAAAATATTTTGTACTGTAACCTCCAGCTAAAGGATTGAAGAACAATGAGTGATGGGAGCCAGCTGGAAAAACTAAACAATGAGTGATGGAGCCAGCTGGAAACTAAGCATCTTCAGCTTGAAGCACTCAAAACTTTAAATAACAATGAGTGCCAGAACTAACTGGAAACTAAGCACCTTCAACTTGAAGCACTTAAAAGTTTAAATAACAGAACTAGCTGGAAACTAAGCACCTTCAACTTGAAGCACTCAAAAGTTTAAATAACAATGAGTGATGGAGCTAGCTGGAAACTAAGCACCTTCAACTTGAAGCACTCAAAAGTTTAAAGAAAATTGAGTGCCAGAACTAGCTGGAAACTAAGCACCTTCAGCTTGAAGCACTCAAAACATTAAGTAACAATGAGTGCCAGAACTAGCTGGAAACTAAGCACTTTCAACTTGAAGCACTCAAAACTTTAAATAACGATGAGTGCCAGAACTAGCTGGAAACTAAGCACTTTCAGCTTGAAGCACTCAAAAGTTCAAAGAAGTTTGAGTGCTAGAAATCGCTGGAAACTAAACACCTTCAACTTGAAAAATGAATTCCTAAGAAAATTTGTTAAGGAGTAAGCACAAAGAAAAGTCCAACAAAAAATTTAACGTGTTTTATTTATAGCATCCAAAGCCATTTTTTTCTAAACACTATAGGTTTTAAATATAGAAAAAAATTCAAAGAAAGTTTCAGTTCCAACAAATAACTTATCCAAAAACAGTGAATCCCTTTGTGTGGTAGTAAATATATATATATTATAATAGCCTATTTGTTTTCCCACGTAAGATGTATTGAACTTGGGATGTTTCGGTTAGAATTAAGCTTTTTTTCTTATGGCAGATTAAGAATCTTTTTTTTCTATATATACAGAACGATTAGACAATATTTTTCACGGATAAATTGAGCTCCTCTATTCTATTGCTATATGCCAGTGATTCCCAACCTGTGGTCCGCGAACCCCTGGGGGGGTCCGTGAAGATAATACCATCTCATTAAACAAGTAAGTTTTTAAATTCTGCTGTTCTTTTAATTGCACACACAGTTATATATACGTCTTTTATTTGATAGTGAAAAATGGAAAAACAGTTAATTATTAGTAAGAAAAACAGTTTGTTGGGTAGATGGAATCTTTCAAAAAAACATGGGGTCCGTGGGGGAAAAAATAATAATAAAGGGGGGGGGGGTCCTTGGTGGCCAAAAAGGTTGGGAACCGCTGGTATATTGTGTACACGTTATCTACGACCCCACTTTCCTCAGTTCTGACACCTTCTAGTCATCAACGCAGACGGGGGGGAAGACAATAATTAAGTGAATGCCACTAACTGTTGTCTTTTCCTGCCCTAACTGCTTATAGTAATTATCAAACTAACATGGGAATGTTAAATACATGAAAGCAATTATCATGTTGGGGTTTCTATGGCAGTGTTTTTACCCGTATAGGTTTCTGTTTGTTTGTTTATTGTTAAGCCCAAAGCTACACAATGGGCTATCTGTGCTCTGCCCACCACGGGTATCGAAACCCGGTTTCTAGCGTTGTAAGTCCGCAGACATTTCGCTGTGTCACTGGGGGCTTAGAAGAAGAATTTTCGGCTAAAACAAAGGTATAAAGAGTGGGGGGGCATGCTTAACGAACGATTTGATTCACGATCTCTGATTGATTGATTGATTGAAAGGTTTAGGACTTCAAAGATTTGTTGTTGTTTTTTTATTTGTGGAGGTAAACAAACTTTCACCCCTCATTTTCTGTTAAGGATATCAGAATGTCCTCACACACTTTGTGTCCGGATAAATCTGTTTGTTTCAGAATTTTTGTGCAGAGCAGACGAAGGTTATAAGCGCAAAGCCGTATTTAATTTTGAACTGATAGGCTAGAGGGGAAGACAGCACCGAACGCGAACTGTTGGGGTTTCATCGTCACTCTCATAGAGCTCCAACGGCCTCAAATTTCATATCTGACCACTAAGCCACGCCCGGTCACATCTCACTACGATCATATAATAATTGTATTTATGTCATAATGAAAAAAAAAAAAAACGCTTTCAACTACAATCTTTGTCTGCAAACCTGAATGTGAAATTGTGATTTATAAACTAGTGTTACATCTACTGTTGTGTCTATATAAATATAATAGTACTGTCAGTTGTATGTAACTACTTATATATAAATATAATAGTACTGTCTGTTGTATGTTCATGTAACTACTTCTATATAAATATAATAGTACTGTCTGTTGTATGTAACTATTTCTGCATAAATATAATAGTACTGTCTGTTGTATGTTTGTGTAACTACTTC